CGTCGTAAACTTTTTAAAAGATCTTATATGACGAAGCTTTTGAACTAATTTCAACTAAACTTGGGGGGAATGATCATAAGGTTACCTAGTATAAAGTATGTGGTTTTTCCAGTAATTAAGTCGACAAACATGTCGCCATGGACAGAAAAAGAACTTAAGGGTGAAATGCATCTTATATCTTGACAACCATAATAGATAGAGAAAATCTGACAGGGTTAGCCATGCTTAGGATGTCAAGATCTACTTACTTCCTAATTTCACCAAAATCGTCAGATGAATTTTAGTGTTTTCCCCCCATATTATCTCTTAAAATATAATATGGGGACGAAGTCCCCAATAACGATAGAAAAATCAATAATAATAAAAAAAAAATCAATCTACTTATGAACTGAAAATAGTTAACTTTTTATTTTCAGACTTTTTTTAGTTTCCCACATCTGCGCAGAAATCATTCCCGGTATCGTTCAGCTCGGGATTTGAGTAAAATGTTATGGGACGTCCCTCATAATAGTAAGCAAATCAATAAAACTGAAAATCAATATACTAATGAAATCATAATCGTAAACGTTTTTTTCTAACTTTTTCCAACAGTTGCATTTGCCCTGTTCAGGTTCTGTTGTTGGACGATGCCATGTAAGTCATATTTATATATACAAGTAATAGCTTTTCCAAAAAGCTTGCCGGTTTTTAGCTTATTATGTTGAAAATTGTTTTTTTTTTTGCTATCATCGTATTTTCATCCATTCAGAATATTGCTCTGCGTATAAATTGTAATGGGGTATAAAAGTGGAGTAGAGGACAGGCAAATATAGTAGTGTAAGGGTTACAATTCTAATTTTGTGCTTTGTCATCTTTAACTCCTGGAAAGGGCTTAATTTCTAAATCACTTGCGTTTTTGCATGTACTTATTTCAATAAATTTTTTTATAAATAAATTTTTCAGCAGACATGTCATTATTTACTCTCTGTTTGAGAAAAGTGTGATCTTCCATTAATTGTCCCGATAAAACAACTCGCAAACGTTTTAGGTCCCAATGAATCTTTATTATACCGGAAATTGTGCCTTTATACTATTTAAGCAGGTTCCAGGAGCGTATAAGGGTACATGTACATAGTTACTGCGGGGAAAATGTTTAAAGAGTAAATCTGCTTAAAGTCTGTTCTTAAAAAAATGAACAAATTGGCATGTAATGAAGTAAAGTAAATACATGTGTTATACTGCTTACGTAAATTGATATCTTTATCGAAAATTTAGATAATCTGATGATTTTGGTGAAATTGAAATTCTATTAAAATGTTAAAATTAAAATATATGCCTTTTATTCATGCAGAAGTATGCCATTATACATTTTTTATACATGTTTTAATACCTAAGTCCTAACCTGTAGGGTAAATTCTCAAACTGCATGGTTACATCTGATATTCCTATAACCATTCATATAGTAATCTCAGGTTATATGGAACATGTGAAAGGTGATATGCGGTACTATTGAATCTGGATGCTGGACATGTCAGACACTCTACCAACAATTCAATAGACAATAACATTATTGAAGTTTGAGGGCTGCAACTAGTTAAAACTTGAACAGTTCTGTGCTTTTAATAATCTGCATGTGACACACTCTGCTCCGTCAGTCAAACTTTTTGGTCTTCAATGAATAGAATATACAAATAAGAAGATGTGCTATGCCTATGAGACAACTCTCTACCAGAGACCAAATGATGCAAAAGTTAACAACTATATGTCACCATACGCCTTCAACAATGAGCAAATCCAATACCGCATTGTAAGCTATAACAGAAATGACAAATGTAAAACAATTCAATCGAGAAAAACTAACGGCCTGATTTATGTACAAAACAATAAACGAAAAACAAACATGATATACAACAACAAACAACAACCACCACTGAATAACGGGCTCCGGCTGATTTGGGACAGGCACATACAGAACGTGGCGCGGGGATTAAACATGTTAGCTGGGGAAAAAATTATAAAAGTCAGTTGAAAAGAGCTTAAAGGGAAACTTCGCAAAAAAATAAAAAAAATTGATGTTATGTTCATTATGAATAAAAAAAACACAAATTCATAAATATTAACGTTTTATTCCCCTAGATAAGAGATCAGCATCGATTTTAAGTTAAGATTATAAATTCTCTACATGTCGCCTCCTTGACGGCTTGCCGATTAAAAAACCACGTCATATCTATATTAAACCACAAAGTACCAAAAAACAAGCAAGGACTTACGTAGTTGAATTCAATGTCGAAATCACTTGTCATGCGTACGGTTGTTTTAACCCGACAAGGTAATGACAAAAGCAATCCCAGTTTCCCGGATCCAAAAAATAAATATTATACCAAACATGTTGTACTACCTATCGGCAAACTTTTTAAACTAACTTGATACGGAACAATGTTTAAAAAAAGGTTTAAGAGTCGAAAAAGTCGGCCGATTGGACATCTTATTTTTCTTAAATAACTATGGTCTGTCGTTTTTAAACTAAGTTTATGAATCAAGTACATATATAGGGGAATTACTTTAGAGCAATTACTTTTATGGATTCTCTCAAAGTTTAAAGTCATAATTAACTAGCAGTGTTCCGTGTAAAATTGTTGAATTCAATGTCGAAATCACTTTTCATGCGTACGGTTGTTTTAACCCGACAAGGTAATGACAAAAGCAATCCCAGTTTCCCGGATCCAAAAAATAAAGAATTATACCAAACATGTTGTACTACCTATCGGCAAACTTTTTAAACTAACTTGATACGGAACAATGTTTAAAAAAAGGTTTAAGAGTCGGAAAAGTCGGCTGATTGGACATCTTATTTTTCTTAAATAACTATGGTCTGTCGTTTTTAAACTAAAGTTTATGAAACAAGTAAATATATAGGGGAATAACTTTAGAGCAATTCCTTTTATGGATTCTCTCAAAGTTTAAAGTCATAATTAACTAGCAGTGTTCCGTGTAAAATTGTTTCCAAAAATCTAATTTGGTCAGAAGTCTTATTTGCAACACATTTATTCAAGTCTGTCCTTCTCTCAATTGATCATCAGCATGGCTAAAGGAATTATTGCCAGAGTTATTGTGAGATGAGGTATTCAAGTGATTTCCTATCGGGCTAAAAAAAAACTCTTTATTACAGTCACAATTACATAATGCAGGTTCATACATCGCTTCTCTGCTGAGCGTATCAGTGTACACGGCCGGTAACTTGGAACTTTCCATTTAAAAACTATCAGATGTAATATACTTCATGTGTACATTTTTTTGTAAGTATATACTCGCTTTCAATAATTATGGAAAATTTGAAACATATATATAGCCTTTATATATTTATTTCACAAAAATGTATGCACTTGTCGATCATTGGTTTATACAGATAGAAAGTTACGGAACTATAGATAGTCACAATTTAAAATATATATTGAAAATAAGAGAGAAAAGAATCATATAAATTGCATACATTTAGCATATTTCTGTACATAAAATGGAACGGGTATACGAAAGATTTCTCAAATGATGTAGGTGAAAAATACATACATTTGGTATATAAATATAAAAAAATACACACATCTGGTAGAAAATAAAGTCTCGCCAACTATAGCATTTCATTTATAATTTTCATTCTTGGTTGAAATAATGTTTTAACTTATTTTCATTTATTTAATGCGTTCTTGCTCTTATCAATACGATATCACTATACAATTAGCGCATATACTGTCCCTCTATTATTATTTTCAATTTTAAAAATAAGAATCGAGGGACAGCGTTCATAAACTATTATTCAACACACAAAGAAGGAAAAAAGAAAAGAAAATAAGGGCAAAAACGCCTGTGTAAGTGTAAATGCTCTTTTGTTCCGACGTTGGAAAGTTCCGGGCGGAAAGAACTAACTAGCCGAAAAGTTCCGGAGGAACTTATTAACTAGTTACTTTGTTCTTCCTCTGGTTTAAAAGTTCCATCGGAACAAAGTGACTAGTTGAAAAGTTCCAACGGAACATATCAACTAGTTAGAAAGTTCCTTTTTGCCAAATTAGTCAAAACCGGAACTAACAAACTAGCCCAAAAGTTCCAACGGAACTTATCAACCAGGCAGAAAGTTCCATTTGGAGAATTGATGCAAAGTAAAAGCGCAACATATTATATTTGAACCTTTCAAAGGGAAACCAAGATACTGATTACAAAAGTCAAAAGGAACTTATCAACTAGCCACATAGTTCCTCTTTGGCAAATAAGTCAAAACCGGAACTAACAAACTAGCCCAAAAGTTCCAACGGAACTTATCAACCAGTCACAAAGTTCCATTTGGAGAATTGATGCAAAGTAAAAGCGCAACATATTATCTTTGAACCTTTTCAAAGGGGAACAAAGATACTAGCCACAAAAGTCAAACGGAACTTATCAACTAGTCACAAAGTTCCTCTTTGTTAGGGTTAGGGTTGGTTAGGGTTAGGGTTAGGGTTAGGGTTAGGGTTAGGGTTAGGTTAGGATTAGAGTTAGGGTTAGGTTAGGGTTAGGGTTAGGGTTAGGGTTTGGTTAGGGTTAGGGTTACGGTTAACTATTCAACTAGCTACATTGTTCCGGGACTTTTCAACTAGCTACTTTTTTCCGGAACTTTTCGACTGCACTCGGAATAAAACAACTAGTTGGAAAGTTCCATCGGAACGAAATAACTAGTTGAAAAGTTCCGCCGGAACAAAGTAACTGACGGAACATAGTGGCTGTTCCATAAGCCAGATTGATAACTGAATGACGTTTTCAGTTTATTATTTTATTCTTTAAAATTCAATTTCGAGCTCAGAACTAAGATATTTTGCAGGGAGAAAATGATATTTAAATACAATCTGCTGTAGATAAAATAAAGTAAAAGAAATCAAAATTAAAGTACTTAAACATCGATCGGGAATAAATGTATGGATATTTCTATTCCGGAATATATTTACCGTTAATATTTCGTTATTTATACTATACTTTCATTATTATAAGTAGGTCAGTTATGTTTACATTTGGTAACAACTGTCACAAGGGTTATTCAATTTTATCGGTCCTGTCAGATGTCCTAAAATGAATACATAATTACTTCGGACATACAAGTGTACGTATATTTTATGTTATAATTTCACCTGGATGAACAAATCAACAAATAAAAGGTATGGCGATTTATTGTAAAGTTATTGGTGGAGTCACATGATCTGTTTGCACTGCTTTTTCACGTACTGTTAATTAACAATGCTATCTACGTTTTTCAACAGTACAACTGAGTGAGACATTGTCGATTTATCTTCGTCCAAGAATATAGTTTTCGTATTCAGATACACGTTTTATTGATCAGTAAAGGCCTTTTGGTTGAGATGACCTTATACGTTCCCCCCTTTTTCACTAAAAATTGAAACTGCTAAATAATCTTATTTTTATTAATATTTACATTTAAAAGTCACTGTACAAAGGAAATAAATTGTCAAATATAAGTAAGTTAGTAAGTAAATAAATAATAACGTTTCTTAGAGGGTAACACTGACATGACTAACACAATTAACATACAACGAATCTCCCCAAAGACCCTTTTACAACTCATTAGATAAAGCTAAATATATACAAATATAACAATGATATATCTAATGTATTAGGCCCGTTACGATAAATTTGATACATGAACATATAATTATTAAACACTTTATATGTCTAGTAGGCATTTTGTTTAATAAAAGTGACAGATAAAAAGAAATAACTCAACGGACGAGCGCAGCCAAAATGTGACTATTTATTTGTATGTGACGTTTTGCATAGAAGCAATTATTTTTAATATCAAATTAAAATTCGGAAGCGTAAACATTGTCACTGAGACATTGTCTATTTATTGTTATTTTTACCCTTGAATCTGATGGACATGTCGTCCGTTAAGGTTAATTTTGAGATTTTTAATGTTTTTATTTTGTAAATTTTTCATTCCGTAATCATTTTTTTTCAAAAAACCAAATTTTTCGATTTTGCCTCTTGCCTTGACCTGATATTGATTTGGTATGTTTGCACTTCCTCTCCTCTCAAAATAGGCATACACGATGATGTAAGGTATACGTCATTGAGATAGCAACCCAACGACACAAAAAAATAAAAGAATGTTTCACCACGACTATTTTAGCACACGTTTTTGTATTTACTTTATTAAAGCTGACAACTTTAAAGAATGGAAGCCGCTCGAGAGCCATTGCTTAAGGACGACCAAAAGACGGTTTACGATTCAATATATCCAAATCAAGCCATTGTTATCAACACTTCCGACAACATATCAGACGTTGGTGTACTGAAAGACACAGACAACAAAGTTGCACATGAAACAAAATTATACAAGAGACGATGGTATATTTTGGTTGTTTTCTCATTGATTGCATTTGCGCAAGGTGGGATATGGAATACCTGGGGCCCGATAGCAGAGGCGAGCGAGGAAGCCTTTGGTTGGACGGATGGTGACATTGCATTATTTGCCAACTGGGGACCTATTGCCTATCTCATTGCTACCTTTCCACTTGCATGGATAATTGATGTGAAAGGTAAATAAAATTAATCACTGTTTCGCATATCTAAAGATTACGTAGAATTGTATTCCTTGCATAAAATAATACATGTAAAATGTTGCAAGTCTTGTTTATAAAAACGAACCACTTGTGATAAAAAAAACTTTTTACTAATTATGCGCTTTCTTTATTTTGACCTAACGATGAATCGTGCTTTTTTAAAATTAATATTTACCCTACATCTAGCTATTGACAACTAACATTTGTAGGTCTCAGGCCCGCCTGTGTGATATCAACTTTCCTGGTAGCAGCTGGAGCGGGAGTAAGATGTATAACAGACGACCCAGAGTATATCAGCTGGTATGTATGCATGTCAAAGATATTGTAACAATTTTGATGAATTTAATTAACCAGTGCTAGTAAATATATAGATAACTTGATTACTAGCTCTTTTGCTGCTCTTTGGTTTGTACTTTAACACAGTTTCACAATTCACAAAAGTTTAACGAACATAAATGTGCTTAGTTTATAAAAAATATATTCCAGTTTAACTGTTTATCTTAGACTTATAATGAATACTCCATTTTAGTTCAATATTTTAGGACTGTTAATATTGGACAGTTATTAAATGGACTGGCAGGACCTGTTGCAATGGGAGGTCCACCTGTTTTATCAGCACTCTGGTTTCCTGCCAATGAAAGAACAACAGCCACAGCTATTAACTTAGTATTTAATAATTTAGGACTTGGAGTTTCCTTTATAATAGGTAATATTTTGATGATTTAATTAATAAGTATGAAATGCGTTAGATTATAACCAAAATGTTATAACAGCAGGGATCGTTTTTATAGACTAATGGAACGCCGATGAAGTCAAAAACACGCTGAATATGATCTGTAACTGCCTCACAGTGACGGGGAAACAATTTTAGTTGAAATCGTCTGGATGAAAAGGCGTTCTTTTATTTTTTATATTAAACACAAGGGTAGGAAAGATGTCGAAGTAAACACTGCTGCTTGTTACTAATGGACTCCCTGAACTGCTGAGTTTTAAATTGAAATATCTTTGAATATGCAATCACTTCTTGTTAAAATGAGACCTTTCAATCCAATTGAATATTTCATGTTTACACTCACCAAAACCCATTCTGACTATTCCGTACTTTTATATATGATCTACATGTTTCAAATCACGATCGACATGGGATTCTAGCTCTCGGACTGATGCAAAGCAGACATTTTTGACAATATCACTGGCTACAAATGTTCATGGTACATGATTAATTAAATAAAATGATTGATGGAAGCGGTCCAACGACAGCACGACCTTTAGTTATAGATAGTCACTGTAGTTTAAGCATGAATATATATAATGGCCTGCATGGGGACAGCCTTACAAATGTTTGGTACCATTTCAAAGAAGATATTCTTGACAAATGTGTTCGTACGATTGCATTGAAATGAAACAGGATTTTGTTGTTTGCAGTCATGCAGACATATTTTTTTATTTCATTACAAATATATTGTATTTTTTATTACAAATATATTGTATTTCGCCAATGCTTATAGAATACCGAATCTCCCACGTCATGGCTCTCGATTGTTTATCAATACTTATAACTAAAACAAAGTTTAAAAGAGGCATTATAATGGCCAATTTCGTGTGCAACGTAGTTTCACTTCGTTTCCAATTTAATCTTAGTAATACAAATCAAATCAAATCAAATATTTTATTGTCGTATAAACTTTACAGTTTGTGACCAACATGTATTAACACAATAAACATATATAAATACATATCAAACAAACACAATAAAAACAGCATCAAAATTTATAAAAACAAACAAGCTGTTAAGAGTCCCCTGCCCTCAGTTCTAATGACTTTTTCAAGAAGGATCCTAACTTATTTGTTTGTAAAGGCGTTGATGGATTTAGTAAATAATGATTTTTTTCTTCTTCATTTAAATTTTTAAAGTTATTATTTTCAGTACATATGTGTTCAAAAAAGGCATTTCTTAGTGTTTTATTATAATCACAATAGAGTAAAAAATGTTTCTCATCCTCTAGTATTTTACATTTATGACAAAATCGTTCCTCTCTTGGGATTTTAAAATATCCCCCCTTTTCAATTAAGAGGGAGTGATCACTTATTCTAAATTTAGTGATCAATCTCCTTATCTGAAAATTAGGTATATTTAGATAAGATTCTAGTTTGCAATCCTTTTTAAGTTTTTTATATAGATAAAATTTACTTTTATCATCAATGTTTTCAAATTTAGTTTCAATTAAATCTTCATATCTATTTTTCATTTTTAACTTTATATCGTTTTTTATTTTATTTACATCTTTTATGTCCTTACAATTAGAAAAAATATTATGGTCAATATTAGTCTCTTCAACAATATTTTTTGCATATGTATACCATGAATAAGTTCCAGTCAAATCTAGAGACTGTGCTAGAGAAAAAGCTTCCTTTATCAATGGATTAATATTATTATTATTATATAGTCTAGCTAAATATAAAAGGGTTTGTGTTTTAATAAAACATTCTATAGGCAATCTTCCTAATTCATCTCTTGCTCCTAAATTGGATGCATTTTTTCTTATTCCTAGAGTAGATTTACAAAATTTAAGATGCATATTTTCAATAGGGGTTTTGTCTGTAAAATCAAGTTGATTAATTTGTTTTCCTGAAGATAAGGCTCTGTTTTTGGCTCTATGAAAAGAAATATATGTATCCAAATATGTTACTTCTGAATTATAGGTCATAATTGATTTTACTAAAGAATCAAAAAGGTTATTTGCTACTTTTATAGGTAGATTATTCAATGATTTAGTATAGGATTTAATGCAAAAAATACTTTTTTTGCCTTTTTTGTCAGCTCTAAAGTACTTTGTAATAAATTTCCATTACATTTTATCAACATTCCCAAAAATGAATATTCTGATACGCTCTCTATGGCTTCATTCTCATAGTAAATATGTGATGTTTCACCATTTTGTTTGGGCTGACTGAAAATCATGGATTTTGTTTTCTTTGTATTTAAAGAGAGTTGCCATTTGTTGCAATATAATTTAACATTATTTAAACTGTTTTGAAGACCCTCTTTCTATTCTGACAGGATCAAAAGATCATCCGCAAAAAGGAGGCATCCCACCTTACTATTTATAAGCTTAAGGGGACTTGAATCATTTCCCTCAGAATTTTTTACAATATCATTTATGAAGACATTAAATAAAGTGGGGCTCAGGGTGTCTCCTTGTTTAACCCCTCTAGCAATATTAAAAAATTCTGATACATAATCTTTGTATTTCAAAGATGATTTAGTATTTAAGTATTGTTGTTTTATAACTTTGTAAAAAGACCTGCCAACTCCCATTTTGCATAATTTATAAAGCAAAGCAGTTCTCCATACTGAATCAAAAGCCTTTTTCAGATCTATAAAGCAGGCATAAATCTTTTTTTTCTCTTTATGTAGATATTTATTAATCAATGACTTCAATAAAAAGATGCTATCAGCTGTTCTGTGATTTTCTCTGAAACCAAACTGACAATCACTTAATTGTTTGTCAACAATCTTGATTAGCCTATTATTCAATATGGCATTAACAATTTTTTGTAGATTACTTATAAGAGAAATTCCTCTATAATTATTAGGGTCTAACTTGTCACCTTTTTAAAGGCAGTGCTTTAATGCCTTTCTGGTTGCCGGGTTAATACTTCCTTCCGCGATATCCAACTTATCTACGTGGGGGGTCATTAGGCTCCAAGTAGATCCGGAAATGTTGAATTCTCTCCTCTTCTTATTGCGATATAAAATGTTTTTTGTTTCATTTCATTTACATTGGGAAATAGAGAAATGATCATTGTGTTTTGTTAGTTTTAAAAACTTTTGATATATTTGTATTTTGCATTATAGGCAGTCAACCGATTGACAAACTAGAATTATCGGAATTCCGTGTGGAAAGAGCTCGGGTTAATTTCGAGTGTTATCTGCAATCTAGATGTTTATAAATCATTTCAGTCGTTGATATAATAATTAAAGGTCGACTGAACATGAATTATATTATACAATTTAAAGCGATCCGTTTATGCACGTGAACCCGTCTAACGTTATTGTTATTTCGCTGTTATATAAAGTAGCAAATTATCGTTCCTGAATAGGTGGCGCTGTGGTAGCGGATCCTGTTCCTCAACTTCCGGTTTCTGCACTGTGCAACTATTTCAGTTACATTTTTAATTAACGATGCCAAGTACTTGTTGTTGTGTACCTGGGTGTCATTTAAGAGGAGGACATGCATTTCCAAATGACTTAAAAAGAAGGAAAAGTTGGATCAACGCCATGGCCCATACGCAGATTGGACGAGAACACGATGAAATCGTGGAGTCCATCTCAATCAGCTGTTGTTTGCAAGGCACGTTTTACTGAAAAAGACTACGTGCAGGAAACTATTCATGGTAAAACTCTATTTTCTTTTTGAAATATATAGTTAAATATGTAATCGCCATGCGAATAAACCAAAGTCTGTTTACAACCGCAATTATCGTTTTAGAATAAAAAGGGGTGGTTAATTCAAGACGTCATAATTTTTTGGATTACGATTCAATGTGATCTGTTTGAGATTTTTTGGTTATTGCTACAATTATAATGATTTCTTACAAGAGGTATATCATACTGAGCATTATTTTAGCAGTAATTATGCTAATGTAGTAATGACAAGAATGCATAAGCTATGCCTCATAGACTTTCTTGAAAAATATCAATGACAACGTTAACAGGAACAAAACAATGACATGCTCTCATCTATATTAGATCATATTATAGTTATTTAGGTACAAACAATGTACCTTTGTTGCATAAGTCTCTCATTATTTGTCCTTTGGATTTACATAACATACATTGAATCAGGCAAACATAGTTTTATCCAGATTGTAATGAATAAATCTAGTTAATATTTCGCCAGGTAGTACAAAGTATACATTTACGTTTCTCGCTGCATTGAAGACCCATTGGTGGCCTTCGGCTGTTGTCTGCTCTATGGTCGGGTTGTTGTCTCTTTGACACATTCCCCATTTCCATTCTCAATTTTATTGCTAATGGAAGTTCATTTAATTATCAAAAAACTAATGTTTTATAACCTTTTTCAGGGCGCAAACCCACCATACAGAGACTTAAGTCTACTGCCATTCCCAGCCTATTTTCCTGGACCGAGCAAGAGACTGAATCGTCCGCAAAAAGAAAAATCAGGGCAGTTTCCTGAGAAAACAAAAGAACTAAATTTGATGAATATTGTAGTAGAAATCTAGAGGAAATTTTTGATTGTAAAGTTGGTTTTCCTGAAGAAGTCATTCATACTGCAGAAAGGATTTATGACTGTCCACCACCAACTGCCGAGCTAATGTTGAGCTTCACAGATGGAATTACGCAAACACCATCAATGCCTATGTTTTCAGCAGAGAATTTTTAAATGAAGACACGTGACACAGCCATGCATTTTTATACCGGTTTAGAGTTGTATACTAAATTTTTATTTGTTTTGACCGCATTTGGTCCAGCAGCACATTGTTTGAGATACATATATTTTCAAATTGATATGGTGTCAGTTGAAAATCAGTTTTTTTATGACTTTGATGAAATTGAGGCATTATACAACCAACTTTGAACTGTCTAGATTCTAGATTGGATCTAGTGTTAAGAATATTGTGTATACATGGATTGTTTTTATGTCTAAACAGTGGTGTGAGGCTAACACTTGGCCATCTAGT